AAATATCATATTATATCAATTATATCATAAAATATCATATTATATCAATTATATCATAAAATATCATATTATATCAATTATATCATAAAATATCATATTATATCAATTATATCATAAAATATCATATATCAATTGTATCATAAAATATCATATTATATCAATTGTATCATAAAATATTATATTATATCAATTGTATCATAAAATATTATACTATATCAATTATATCATAAAATATCATATTATATCAATTATATCATAAAATGTCATATTATATCAATTGTATCATAAAATATCATATTATATCAACTGTATCATAAAATATTATATTATATCAATTATATCATAAAATATCATATTATATCAATTATATCATAAAACAATTGAACGAAAATTATAGAAAAAGAAATAATTCGCCAGCTGAAATGACGAAACTTTCAGGAAGCACCAAGTTAGAAAAGTTTACTTTCCACTTCATGTCAGTAAAGTGAACTACAACGTTTACTTTCCACTTCATGTCATAAGAGTGAACTACAACGTTTACTTTCCACTTCATGTCATAAGAGTGAACTACAACGTTTACTTTCAACTTCATGTCATAAGAGTGAACTACTTCTAGTCCTGGTAAGTTGATCTACAGAAATAACTATTGGTCATGGTAAATTGATTCAAAGGATTAACTATAGTGTAGCCCCGTTATAACGCGATCGTTGAGGTCCATAAAATGTCATCGCAAAACAAGTGGATTCGCGCTTAGTCGGGTTTCAAGAAAATCACTGTTCAAAATGACCCAATGTTGACCTAACATCCTAAAACACCTCTATTTTCGCCCTCCATGACTAGTTTTTTACTCGTTCGCTTTCTGGCAAGTAAATTACCTCTGAATTAAAGAATTTTGCGAATAAATCGTTGTTGTTACAGTAGAAATTAAAACACAAATTATTTTTAGTAGGCTTTTTAATAGACAAACCAACAAATAAAAACATTCAAGAATGTTAGCAATCATCATTTGCAGTTCATTTCTTAAAAAAACTGATCGAGTGTTCCTTGCTTGAACGTAGCATGTCTCTGGCTGCGAGCGAAATCTAGAATGCTTCTGAGTTGGAGGATTTTTATGTGGTCCACCTTCTGAGTCTCCAGCCAACGGAGGCTAACCTCGTGGTGTTCAATGGCTTCAGACACTTTTGGTAGTGGTTATGGAGGC